GTACATATGCGTTTAAGACGAAGGAGCTGAGAGTAAGGAATAGCATCCTTACACGATGGTGGATGAGAGGATTTATAATTCAGGAACGTATGTGCATCGGTAGATTTGTAGAACACACTGGTCGAGAGGCGATTATCAGAAATAGAGAGTTCAATGTCGAGAAAAGTAACATGTGTGGACGAGATTGCATAGGTAAACTTGATGGCTGGATGAAAGTTCGAAACATAATTAATAAAATCATTCAGTTCATCAAGTGAGCACGAGGTAGCGCCAACAACATCGTCGATATACCTTTTAAAAAGATGAGGTGTAGCTCCAGAGTATCGAGCGAATATCTGTTCTTCTAAATAGCCCATGAACAAGCAAGCAAAACTAGGCCCCATGCGAGTTCCCATACCAACGCCAGAGATTTGTCGGTAATAGTTGCCATTAAATGAAAAAGATGCAGTCTTAAGAACTAACTCGGCAAGTCGGATGAGGCAAGATGTAGAACAGTTAGATGGATTATCTTTTTCTAAGAAATGTTTAAGAGCATTTAAACCGTCGTCAATAGGTATAGATGTGTATAAAGAGCGAACGTCCATAGTAAATACATACTTGTGATCACCAGTGAAATAAAATTGGTTGAAAATACGGATGGCTTCACTGCTGTCCTTGATATACGTAGGCAAAGTTTGAACAATCGGCGTGAATATAGAGCCCAGAAATTGACTGATAACAACAGTAGGGCAATTGCAGGTAGAAACAATAGGGCGACCAGTTGAATTCTTCTTGTGAATCTTGGGCAACATGTAGAATTTGGAGCAAGTAGGAGCCTTGTTGACGAGAACCTTAGCGCTAGACGGTAGATCATTATCCTTGATCATATTGTGAATAGTATTAGTACCAGGTTAAGTTCATCCGACGTAGGATCATCAGGTAGTGGCAAATAAGTGTCACGATCAGAGAGTTGACGCTGTCCTTCTAGGATGTAAAAATCACGGCGCTAGACCACAGTAGCACCTCCTTTATCTGCCGGTTTAATCACACAATTGCGATTATTACGAATGTTGATTAAAGCTTTCCTTTCACCAGTAGAAAGAGTAGACACTTTGGCACGTCGTTTAAGGTCCAATTGTGAAATGTCGTGGCGACATTTATCAATATAAAAGTCAAGAGCTCTAAATTTACCTGCTGGAGGAGTCCAAACAGAGGCTCGTGGTTGAAGCTTAGAGAACTCGTCAGTATCCGATGAGGTAGAAGTCATTTGTCTGTGAAAATGGGCTTTTAGACGTAGTCTGCGGTATAAAAGCAGACAAAACAGAGGAAAAAGCACAATCACCAAAAACAATCAGTAACAGATCTCATCCCACATCCGTGGGAATGAGATAAAAACGGAGTTTAAAAAAATGTTTGTACAGCCCTTTGCATGTCTAAAAACAATTTTCTTAGTTCTACGGGCAACAGGAACAGGCAACAGAGCATCATCAATCTGACCATAGGCACTTGGCAACGAATTTTACAGGAATATATTTTAGTCTGTTGAAAATTGTGGGAGGTTTTAAGTGGAGCAACCTTTCTTCATATGTTGGTCGTGAATCAAATTGAGTTTGAAAATAATATGGAAAGCAAGATCTTGTAATGCGCCTCTGGACAGATTCAATTCGATTGATGGTGCTCTGCTGAAAAGGAAACCAAACAGGAGAGGCAAATTCAATAATTGGCATAAAGCTCCTTTCACATCTATTCAGGTTCAGGTTCCGTTTCCAGTTTCGGTGCCGGTTAAGAAATCGGACTTCTATTCTTATAACGCTGAAGACGTATTCTATTCACATCTGCTCCGATCCGGTATCCTGTGGCCGGGTCCGGCATCCGGCAACCGGAACGAGTCGGTCCTGGAGCGATTTTTTTCGACCGGAAACCTTTTAAGACTACTGAACCAATCAGAATTCTTCACACACCATAGTCAACCATTATCTATCGCATCAGGTATTCATATTATTTGTTCAAAACATGGAAGGAACCAAAATCTAGACTATTTATGTAGGTTACTAAGGCAGAGGTCAACGAACTCGCCATCGGTAGACCTAGGCTTCCGTACCGTGCACATGTCAGGCCTAAATGTAAGCTGTTTTGTATTTTTGAACTATAATAAATTCTACTTATATAGAATATGATACTAAAAATTATAGTAACTAACGAATAATAGTACGAAAAAATGTAATTAAAAGAAGTTTTTCAAAACATAAACAATACGACACAACTCGCGACGCAAATTCCTTCTAACGCGTGACGTCAGCGTGATGCCAGACGGGAACGGAAAACGCAGTAGATTTGAACAGAATCGACAAAAACCGGACGAGGAACCGGAACTGAAAACGGAATTGAACTGGAACCTGAATAGATGTGAAAGGCGCTTAATAATAGACTTAATTAGGGAAACAGTTTTATCATTGCAACGGACACACCTCTTAATGAATCCAACAAGTTTATTACATTTGCTAGTAGTTCGATGTGTTTATTCCATTTTATATCAGATGCCATAAAGACTCCTAAATACCTATAGTCCGAAACCAGTTCAAGTACATTGTCATTTATCGTATATTGAAAAATACTGTGTTCTTCGGATCTAGTAACCGTCATTACCTTACATACTGTGGTTTATAGTGACATGTTATTAGTATTACCCCACTGTGTTATAGCCATTAGATCCTCTTGAAGTCTTAACGAGTCATCTTGTGTTTTAATAATCCAAAGGAGGACCGAATCATCTGCATAAAGTGCAATATTCGATTTAACAACAGAAGGAAGCTTATAAAGATTATAAAGGATGGGCCCCAAAATGGAAGCCTGTGCGACCCCCGATAAAACATCTTTCCAAGTGGAAAGTAAACCTTTTAACACAGCTTGACTTCGATTGATCAGAAATTATTGTAACCAGTTGAGTAGTAGTTTACCAGTAAAACCATATTTCTGCAATTTTTAAAAAAGAATGACAAACCCTGTCAAATGCTATTGACCAGTACAAAAACACGACATCAATCCTATGAGGTTTGTGTACATCTAAGGCTTTTGCCCATTGATGATAAACTGTGGCAAGCTGTGTTACACAATATTTCTTGTTACAAAAATCATGCTGTGAAGAAGGCATTAGTCCCAATTTATCGCATTCAAAATAGCGTATTTGGCTAAAATCGGATTTAACGCGTTCGTTGCCACACCCATACCTAATTGCCTTTCTAGGTGAGGTGAGAACATAGATGACTGGAAACGACTCTGTGATGATACGCCCTATGGCGCTTCATACGAGTGTTGCTACGCTCGCCTTGTAATTCGACAAGGATTTGTGGTTAACAATTTGCATTAAAGCCCCATTCCCGGCAAAATTTCACTAAAAACTGACTTTTTTTAGAAAATATTCATTTGCATTACTCTAATTATTACAAATCATGGAAAAATATTGGCATGAATTTTAGTTTACGCAAAAGAATAAAAAAAAAAAGAGAAATACAGACTATTTCTCATAAAATATTACCATTTTCTGGACGAATTCATCGTTACTAGGCAAATTCAGAGGTTGTAGATCGCATCCACTGGAATACTTTCGCTTTTATGTATACTTTATACAGTCAATAAAGTGCGCCCTCTCTAATGACTGTCTCTTATACACATCTAGATGTGTATAAGAGACAGGAGATACATAATTTTTACACTATTAATAATAATAAAAATAAATAATAATAATTTTAATTGCATTAAGTAGCGTATATAGTGTTGTTCGCATCAGAGAGCCCTCTAGGCCTAGGCACTTCAATTCAACTATGGTGAAAACTACCCCTCTCAGACACCAGCTCAGTATTTTTTTATTCTACAGTAGGTTTTGGGGCCAGGATTTACAAAGTTTAATTGACTTAACTACAATCTCTTAAATATGGTTGAAAATTAGGAATGTCTAAATTCAGTTAAACTAGCAATTCCGTATTATATTTATAAATCTTTATAACATTATACAAAAATTAGATTTTTCTTAAAAATTGAAATTTTGCCGGGAATGGGGCTTTAAATATTACGTTGTTCAACAAGCCCGATAGATTCGTACTGTGCATTATCACATGACATAACAACAAGAACAACATTACATGGTGGCAGCGGTCAATTGGACAAACACAGCGTCGTGAAGTTAAGTCAGGTCAG